ATGTGTCATGCAGTATCCCCTTGCCTTCATATTTTTATAGGTAAATAAAAAACATACTGTTTGTATTACAAGTACTCATAATTTATTTCCAGTGCTATCAAACAATTTTAGCTATCAACAATAAATGCACATATAAATAATAAATTATAAGGAACATGGGGAAAACAACAACATGATTAACTTGACAGGGTCGAAAAGGTGAAATGCTGCCCCCTATGGAGGTGGATCAAGTAGCAAGATCTTAACATTACAACCTTTCTCGACCCTTGTCAAGTTCAATCATGCATTGGTTGTTTTCCCCGTATGTTCTCTTTATAATTTTTATTCTTATTATGTGCATGTTTATTGTTGATGAGTCTAATAATTTGATAATGCACTGAAATAAAATTATGAGTACTTGTAATACAAACAGTGTGTATGTTTTTATTTACCTATAAAAATATGAGGCAAAAGGGATACTGCAAATAGACACATGGGCGTCAGGCTACAAGCAGCATGAGAAGCGGATGAATGACTCTCATCACAAAGCAGAATCAGAAAATAAGGTTATTGCCCAAGGTAGGTTTTTAATCTTACAAGATATTTGGCTTTTGTGTTTGGACTTTGCAGTATCAATAAAACATACCATTAACAGGAAATAACAATAAAAAGGTAAAACTCCTGCTGAGCAGGATGCTGCAGAAGATTCACAGTATAGACAATATGTGTTCTGTGCAGGGATATACTCTGAGGTGTTACTGTAATGGGTGTTGATGGGTTGATCGAGTCAGACGCAGAAGAAAAGGCAGGTGCTGGGTCCATCACTGGGGAGGACTCGACTGGAATTCTGGTTCCTTGATACAGACAATCAATGTGACGAAGGACAATTTAGTTCTGATCATACAAGTATTCTTATATTCAAACATGTTAGTCTGTTATGTGTGTCTATAATAAACAGTAAGGATAAGATATGAATATGCTAAAATAAATACAGTATTAGGCAGTGGATCCTGAAACCCGCTGGTTTATGGATCAAACAGTCCTTTGGTCTCTTGTCTTTATTTTGTAAAAAAAGTTACTGATGCATCTATCTGGACAACAGCTGCAGGAACAGGCTAAATTCTGCTACATTGCTAAAACGTCTGTCGATATCATCAATCATACATTTATGCCACTTGAAGTGTTTGTCAGTAGGGTTTGTCATTTGCACTAATGATACTTTTCGCTAGAGACCAACATTAGATGTTACTCACCAGTCTAACAGAAAAGATGCAGCTCGGCATCAAACCACATCTCTTTACCCGGAGCTGTCTCCAGCGGTGGGAAGCCACACCGGGATTCACCCGTGTTTTCTTCTTTGCCGCTGAATGTGGTTTCTTGTCAGAGCGGAAGCTCTTCTTCTTTGTGGGCCTGAAGGCAGACTAGACACTACACTGACTCACACAGCATCTAGTGTCATAAAGTGGTATTACAAAATGGCCTGGGACGCAGCTAGTTGGTTAGCATGCTCATTTCAGTAGATATCTCTGAAATACAATAGATGGAGGTCTTGGTCATGACATCATCACAATTTTAGCTGTTACAATTGCACTATGGTGAACTATAAACTATTTATTGATTCAAAGACACATCCCAGGATGCATTGGGACACATTCTCAGTGATGGTCCTGAGGTCATCAGCTGTTTCGGATCTTTCAACATCATACACCCTCGCTCAGATGACCCAAACAGGGTTGATCACACCCTGCCTTGTGTCCCAGTAGCATTAGCACATGGCTCAAAACCCTCTGGAGGTCCTGTCTGTGGCCTCCATTGTGGACTTAATGGTTTTCCTTTTTTCAGCTAAGTAGAGGTTAGACCATGCACGGTTAGTGGCCAGAAAAGCCACCCCACTTCAACGGGTCCCCAGTGCACATTCCAGCCACTTCTCCAGCACTGCTCCACCAGCTCCTAGTACTTGGACTGCCTCTGTTTCATTTGCCTCTTCCGTGTGGTCCTTGCAGGGTGCTCTGAAGAAGCTGATGATGGCACCACATCTGGCCTCAACAAAGTTCTCATAACATGGTCCAGGAACTTGAGCTGCCGACTTGCAGCTCCCAGTCTGACACAGAGCTGAGCAGACCAGCTGCTGATCTGGGCTTTAGCTGTAGATGCTTCCCAGCCCTGATAAAGGTGATGTTCCTCTGGCTGAGGACATGCTTGATGCTTTCCACAGCTTTGGAGATGCCCTCTGCAGTTGCCTTCAAACACCTGGTTGTGTCTGTATCATACACAACTTGGACCATGAACTTGATCCACTGAGGTTCTGTCTGCCAGATGTCAGTCCAGGATGAACCTTCCCACCTTGTCCCTGCTGCAGCATGCCTGCCATCCCGCTGGTACATCCCTACTCAACAGCTGCCCGCACCTCTTCCAGGACTAGATGGTGTCTCTACTTGCCATTGGCCATATCATAGTGAGTGTGTGGGACATTTCCTAAGCCTGCTTGTCGAGTTGCTACAATGCCTATCGAAGCCCTGTGTCTTAGTCGAGACTCTGCTGTCTCCTGGCCTTCCTGAGCTCTCTTAAATCTTTATATACTGCTTAGAAGTGCTAAATAGGGGACTCAAAGTAAAGTGTTACCCTCAATCTACTTGTGACAAGTCAAAAGTCTAGTCTGATCTTTACTACAGCTTAACTACTCCTTTGAAATAGTTCACTATGCGTGAACCACAGTGAACTTAGAGTGTTCTGATTTCCCTTCATCTATTTTGTTGACAGTGAGAACTTTTGATAAATGTTATTTACACAAACAAAGCTTAGCTTTACATTTCTGTGTCTGATAATGAGAAAAGAAGTGCTGTGAAACCAGCAGGCACCACTTCACCACCTGAGAGCAGAGAATATCTCCATCCGTTCAGATCATCCTTCAGGTTTGGTTTCAGATATTCTGCTTCCTCAGGTCAGAGGTCAGAGGTCAGAAGTCAGAGGTGAATGGGCAGACTGGTTGGAGCTGACAGAAATGCTGAGCAGAGAAGCTTCAGAGCGAACAACATGTCCAACCTACAACAGCAGAGACCATGTCAAGTTCCAGTTCCTGTCACCAAGAACAGCAACCTGAGGCTGCAGTGGACACAGACTCACCAACACTGGACAGTTGACCTGGTCTGACGGATCTGGATTGGTGCTGAGGCAGATAGATAGATAGATAGATAGATAGATAGATAGATAGATAGATAGATAGATAGATAGATAGATAGACTGGAGGTGTTCAGAAGGAGGCAGTTCTTGTCGCTCCATTCACTGAAAGCCACCGTCAGATCCCTGTACTCCTCTTCCTGCTTGTTCCTGATACTCGCCACAATAGCTGCGTCATCCGAGTATTTCTGGATGTAGCAGGACTACAGTTGTATTTAAAGTCATTTAAAGCCAGAGCAGTCCCCTGTGGAGCCCCAGTGCTGCTCATCACTGTCCCTGAGACACAGTTACCCTGCCTGACGTACTATGGTCGTCTTGTCAGGTAATCCACAATCCAGGACGTGAAGCAGGGATCCACCCCCATCCCTTCCAGCTTGTCTTTAAGAATGGGGGGTTGGATGGTGTTAAATACACTTGAAAAATCAAAGAACATAATCCTCATGTAACTACCTGGCCCGATTATGATCTGATCTGCCAAGTGGTGGTAGAGCTGAAGCAGTGTAGGCCTCCTTGACATTTGCATACAACAGATCAAGTGTCTTATTTTCCCTTGTGGGACAGTCAACATACTGAGTGAAGCCAGTCAGGTGAGAGTGACATGGTTAAAATCCCCCAATATTGCAATGAATGCATCAGGGTGCTGGGTCTGTACTCTCAACAGTCTTGTGAATGACGTCACACGCGTCTGCAGGCTCTGCTCGTGGTTGAATGTAAACAACAATTGCAACGATGTGTGAGAACTCCCTCGATACATAGTACGGTCTAAGACCAACTGCCAACAGTTAAAATCTCCTTCCCTGTGATGTGACCAGAGTTGCACCATCTACTGTTCACAACCAGAACCAGTCCTCCACCTTTATTCTTCTTCACTTGCTCTGGCGTCTCTGTCCGCTCGTGCTGCAGTGAAGCCGGGTAAATCCACACAACGGTCGGGAGTGTAGTCATTTAACCAGGTCTCCATGAAACACATGAGACTACACTCACGATATGCTCGCTGGTTCTTCACAAGTGCCTCCAGTTCATCACACTTGTTAGCCAGGGAGTTTCCATTTCCCACAATGATCTCCTAGCCTTTAGCTTAGCCCCAGCTCTGAATCCACAGTACGACTTCTTCAGCTCAGCCGGTATGGGATGTTGAACTCCATATTTGGTAAACTTTAAAGCCAGGAGTTCTTTCCATCTGTGCAAACATTATTTTCTCCATACGTCAGACGAAACAATGATGTAGAATAAAAAACATCAATCGACAAAAAATATACTAATATATACAAATATATTGCAAAAAACTACGAGCTACGCGGACTTGCTGCCACTTGTTGCCAGTGCATCATTTGAAAAAATAAATAAATAGAATAAAAGACTTGTGACATTTCATTCAGTCACTCAGAGACTTTTAGATCTGATCCACATGTCTAATTCTGGATAAATGGCAGGGAGAAATACAGAATAATAGATATTAGATAAAAAGATTAGTGGGCTAAAAAGGCCAGTGAATAAAATGTGTCTTTAGCCTGGATTTAAAAACAGAGATGGAAGCAGAGCGTTTTATTTCTAATGGTCACTGGTTCCACAGCAGCACCTGCAGCAGTCACCTTTTACTTTTAGTCAAGAAATCTCTCTCTAAATTAAATCGAGGCAACTGGATCTTGTATTTGTCTGTGGAAGACGTTTCGCCTCTTCTCCAAGCTGCTTCTCATCAAGTTCATCATGTATTGGTCTCTCTAGTCCGCTACTAGTCTGACAAGAAAATGGAGAAAGGACCCAGGTATTATACGCTCTTGTGGGTGGTATTCACCAAAGTACCTGTGAAGTACTGGTTCACCTGGAACCATTGTTGTGGGTCTTCAGTGGACGGACCGTCGTTTGGGGTTCCAGGTGACACCCTGGTTGTTGTCCCGGACCTGTGAACGACAGTCCCGTTAGGGTCAGGCTGAGCCCTGGTGCGATGACGATCGTTGAGAGTCGTCTGAGGTTATGTTGTTGACCCTCCTGGGTAACCGATGAAAGGGGCGACATTGTAGATGGGGATAGATGGGTGTCCGCAGACACCTCCCCTGTTTGCGATGGCGCTCTCCACTTTGTACATATGATGCTTCCTTGACTCCCTCTTTCAAACCATCTGTCCTTCCCTGTCCAAGGATTTTTGACATTGGCTGTCTTCAAATGAGTGTGCCTTTTCCTTTAGGTGGGAGTAAGACAGCTGAGGACCAGGCGCCTTGAAGAGTTTGCCCTCCCTGTGTTGGGCCATACGTATCTGCTTTAAAAGGTGTTAGTTTCCCAATATAATAGGAGTCATTGCAATCCTCACTGCATTTGAACCGCCATTATATCAGGTTGCGCTTTTCTGATTGTGTGGTGTTTTGTCTTTGGATGTAACCAGTTTCTGCCTGAGTTGTTAACTGGGTTTGAAACATACAGGGATTTGATGTTTGTTAAAAATCTCCGGATGTTTCTCTGAGACCCCAGACACGTAATGGCAATGACTATATTTCTGCGTTTATCTTGCATTTTCTCAGCATCCTCCATGTTGGTATTCTTTCTGGAGCGTGTTGTTGTTTGTGCCAAAGGTCCAACTCGGATAGCCACAAGTTTTCAGAGCTCCCTTTAGATGTTTGTGCTCTTCTGCTTGGGCCCGAGTGGAGGTTGGTATGTTGTCAGCCCTGTGTTGCAAGGTTCTGATAACACCCAGTTTGTTGCTCCAAGTGGATGATGTGAGTTAAAGAGAAGGTATTGGTCTGTGTGCGTGGGCTTCCTGTATACTCAATGTGAAGGCTCCTGTCCCAGCAAGGTGGACATCACAGTCAAGGAAAGGTAGGTGGTTTCTTTGACTCCTCGTCTTGTGTTGAATTTGATGTTCTTGTCCACTGAGTTGATGTGTTGGGTAAAAGCTTGTAGATCTTGTGTTTTAATCTTTACCCATGTTGTCATCCACATACCTAAACAATGGCTTGGTGGAGTTCCCTTGAAGGAGTTGAGGGCCTTTCGCTCTACCATTTCCAATGTATAGATGGCCACAATGGGGGACACAGGTGAGCCCTAGCACAGCCGTGCTTTTGTCTGTAGAAATTGCCGTTAAACTGGAAATATGTGGTTGTGAGGCATAAATCCAGTAACTGGCAAATCTGATCTGGTTGAGGTTTTTCTGTCATGTAGTGTGTGATCTTGTTTTCAAATGATTCCTCACGGTTTCCACTGCCTCCATGGTTGGGAATACAGGTGAACAAGGAGAGGTCACATCGTATGACACCATGGTTTCATCTTGTGCCATTTTCAAGCTTTGATTTTGATTCAACAACAGGGTCACCTGACCCCTAACGACGGTCGTCCACATGAGACCACAACAATGGTCAGGTGAAACCAGTACTTTCACAGGTACTTTGTTTGGACCCACCCACAAGAGGTTAAATACCTGGGTCCTTCTCCATTTTCTTGGTCAGACTAGTGCGGACTAGAGAGACCAATACATGATGAACTGATGAAGCAGCTTGGATAAGAGGCGAAACGTCTTCCACAGACAAATACAAGTCCAGTTGCCTTCGATTTAATTTGAGAGAGAGATTACTATGACCTGGACGAATGAGAACATTCACAGACTTTAGTCAAGAAAGATTTGTTGTCAGATCGGCGCTGAGAGCCAGTGAATAATGTCTGTGATATAAGATGATATCTGTGATATGACCTGAAAACAATCAGCAAATAAAAAGAACAGGGGGCCAATGAGGACAGATTAGGACTCAAACTATTTATATTAGGTGTTGGGTGTTTGAAATACTGGAGATGAATGTTCATGGCCTCACCACAAAGCAGGGTTGTCTTGTTGAAATTCACTGTTTTCCATCCATCCATTAGCTATACTGCTTATCACACTAACACTATGGACACTTTAGAATTAACCTAATGTGATGTAATGTACCCGGAGGGAACCCATGCAGGCATGAGGAGAACATGCAAACTCCACAAACAACAGTGAATTTATTCTTATATTGTATTTTATTATATTAATATTATTATTGATATTTTTTTTTCTTTTTTCTTTGATGATTTAATTCCATTGAATGACTGTAACTGTGCTGTAGCAACACATTGAAGTAGTCATGCTATCAAAGCCTGTTGAATTGAAAAAAAATTAAATTAAAAGAGCGTGAGAGAGAGAGAGAGAGAGAGAGAGAGAGAGAGAGAAAGAGAGAGCCGTTCACCTAGTGTTCTGTTAACGTATTGAGAGGTGTCTATGGAGCCTCATCAGGGTCATCTGAGAAAAAACAGAGCTCTGTATGAATCTTTACTCTCTGTTCACAAATCCATGCGCACGGTCAGTGCTCAGGCCCGAATAGGCCACATAGTGAAAACCGTTTTTTATCATTTGAGCAATTTTATTCAAAAAGTCAGGAGCTTTTCATCCCAGGATGATGCTTAAAAACTCATCAGTGCTTTTTTATTTCAAGCCATCCTGTGACACACTACTCACAGGAATATCCAAAAAACATCTGGATCGTCCACAGCTACTGCAGGATGCAGCTGTCACACTTTTAACTAGGGCCATATAACACTTGTGCTGAGGTCGTTACTATGGCTTCCAGTAAATTTTAGATTTGATTGTAAATTTTTAATACTTGTTTTTAAGGCCGTACGTGGTCTTGCACCTCAGTATCTATCTGACGTGGTTGTGAGGTATGAACCAGCTCGACCCCTCGGGTCAGCTGGAACAGGCCGTCTGGTTATTCCCGGGGTCTCCACAAAAACGGGTGAAACTGCTTCAGCTTATATGCTCTAAGCCACTGCTGCCTGATCATATCAGAGGTGTTGCTGCAATATCAAATTTTAAATCAAAACTGAAAACATTCCTGTTCTGGTTTGCTGGTCTTAATTTACCATTTTATTTTACTTCTATTCCTTTTTTTTGGCTTTATATATATCTTATTTTTCATTGGTCTATTTATTATTTTATTAAACACATTTTATTCCTACTTTTTAATAGTTTTAATTTACATATCTTTTTACTGACCAGTCATTATATTTTATTTTTCTTAGTGATTTTTAATTCATATGTATCTTTTATGCGTCTGTTGTAATTTGTGTCTAATGTTTTATCTTCAAGCTATCCACATAGTTTTTGTGGTTGCAGCTCCCTTGGTAATTCATGTTTTGTGCAGCACATTGTGCTTCCAACTGGAATGAAATGTGCTGTATATATAAAGTTTTGCTTGCTTGCTAATAATAATAACAAACATAGCAATTTCAACAGGGTGCTGACCAACCCTGGACCCATCCTTGACCAATACTGGACCAACACTGAACTGATGCTGGACGTCCTCTGGACTCTTTCTACTTTGATAACAGGCTGTCTGAATATTTTATATTTAGTCACACAGTCAGATTCATGATTATCAGGATCATGAATTGACACCACAGGTGTTTTCTCCCATTGTATCTGCTGGGGGTTTCAGGATGAATACAGTGTTAGCCGTTTTTCATGACTTCATGCATCAAACTGGTGATATGATGAATCCAGTGATGATGATGAGCTCCCATAATTTTACTCTGTTGCCATCTGCTTCAGAGAGGTAGTTTTTATCCAGCTCCTCAGCTCCCCCCGCTGTTCACTGTTTCTCACCATCACGTTCACATTGAATATAATAAGTGACAAAAAGTAAGGAGTTTTTCTGCAGTTCTTCAGTCAGGTTACAACAATCAACTACATCATGTGAAACCTTCAGAGGTGGACAAAGTCCAGAGCTCCATTACTTGAAGCAGCTTGAACCAGAGTATAGACCCTCTTGATCATATATGACTTCCATAAAAATGAAAGTTGTTCAGTCAGGTTTTTACTTGAGTGAAAGTACTGGAGTTCTTGATTTAAAAAAATACTGAAGTATTCAAAAGTACATTTTTCATGTCACTATTTATGTTACTCCACAGTGTATTTACAGAACCTAATGACTCTGAAACCACCTACAAACTGTCTGACTGAAGACTGAAGAGAATAAAGAGTGCAGAACAGAGGGCAGACAAATCTATTGCATAACAGCACAAAAATGTGATTATAAGCATAAATATATATTAAGCATTTGTAGTATTTTGCTGATTCAAGAGTTTTCTTTCCATGAATTATTAAATTAGCTCCTATAGTGCTGTTATTAAACATTAATGATGCCACTGACAATAAGAATAGAACAGAGTCATTGTAAACTAACACAAACTGCTAAACTAAATACACAAATACAACCAGAAATTGAATATGAACATGATGAACAGGAAACACACCGTAGAATACATTTGAATGAATTATATAGTTTGATTGTAGTCCAAGCCGTGAATAAAAAAGGCTACAGTGTGTCACAGTTGGTGATTTAATGTCAGATTTCAACAATAGATGACAACAAGGCCACGAGGAGACCAGAGTTTCCCAGAGCCAAGACAGCCAGGATGATAGACTTCATGAAGGAGCCCTAAAATAAAGAGTATGATCGGAGTTAGAAAAGGTCTTTCTCTCAGCGGTCAGAAAACCTTTTAGTGCAGCAGACAACTGTGATAATCTTTCAAATGTGGATAAAAGCATCAGAATTGGTATGTTTATCTCTCTGGAGCCATTCATTTGAAAAATTCCAGTAGCCACTTGAAATTTCAAGATGGCCGTCATTTCTGGCAAAGAAAATACATATTTTACCACAGAATTTTACCCAAGACACAGATTTCAATGATTTTGCAATTTAATCATTTGTCTTAGACAGTGAGGATGTCAAATTCACAAGTCTTAAATTTCCTCAGAGCTTTATTTGTGCAATTTCAAATTTTGCAAAATTCTGTATAAAACAAAATGTATTTGCAGTGATGACCCAAAACTTATTTTAGTCTATTTACTTGTTACTTGTCTTAACATTAGCTCTCTAGGCTAACTCGTAAGCAGTTAGTTAGCAAGTGTTTTTGTAGAGTAATTATTGTTTTGTTTTATTTCATTTTTATTTTACAGTGTACCAAATTCCACTTTCCACATTGTTAAAATGATTGACACCTAGATTATTCACATGAGAAGATTTGTGGATGAACTTATTGCAAAAAAAAAAAACATTTCCTTGCCAGAAATGTCAGCCATCTTTAAAATGGTGGCCATCTTGAATTTTCACATGGCTAACATGTTTTATCAAAAGAGTAATAATATGCAGTCATCTGCTGTGCTATTTCTCAGTGTGCTCTTGTCTGGATTTGTGTGCTCATTAGGGTTGCCACCTATTGTGTGAAAAAATAAGGGACAACCCTTATTTTTGCAATAAATAACCTACAATTTTCTGATATGAATGCTCTAGGTATCAAATCATATATTTTAACAATGTAGAAGGTAATATTTAGTACACTGTAAAAAATGAATCCTGTGAAAATTTTAATGATTTACCTACATTTTACAAATTAAAAATGCTGTATTAGAACAATGATACCAAGGGTACAGGTCAAAAACCTTATCAGCATAAAAACTTTTTTTTATTTATTTAATTGATATTAAGAATTGTGACATCCTCATGGTCAAAAACATGATTCGATTGCAAAATCATTGAAATCTTTCCAAATTTGTAAAACTCTGCGGTAAAATATTTGTTTCCCATGGAATGGTGGCCATCTTGGAAATGGCCCCTTTTTAAAATTTCTAGTGGATAATGGGATTTTTCAAATTAATGGCGTTGGGGGGAAATATGCCAATTCTGATCCTTGCATTCACATTTGAAATATTATTATTGCACTAAGGTGCATTCAGATGTGTCAGTGAGCCATATCTGTCAGGCAGCATGCACAATAGCAGGGGTACCTAAATGGAATGTGACCATTATTAATATTTTTAGTTACATAGTTTCATATTTGATGTGTCGCTTTATGATTAGTTGCCACTCAGTTAAAAACAATAAATGATTTTACTTATTTCACTTAGAAATAGATATGAAATGAAACACACAAATCTGTTTGTGTGGTGGCGTGAAGTAGGTACCCACCCTGCAGCTGGGCTCTGATTGGTCAGGAAGAATGGCCTGTTGGTCATCTGACCCCAGAGCTGTAAGTGAAACACACAATAGTTAAAATATCACAAAATCCCCCAAACGTCTGTCAATAAAACACTGAGTTCACGATCAGCTTTACGAAAGTTTCCCTACATTTCTTCAAGTAAAAGCGTTTGTGGATCAGGAGGAGGAGCCTGAACGAGGCCACCCATGTGACATAGGCAATTAAAACATGTGTTGCCCATGGCTGGGGGAGGAGCAGTGATGACTGACTTGTACCCAGGAACATGGCCGCCACTGTAGTCACACAGAGAGCACAGTGTAACTTTAAACAACCAGGTAGGATAAAAGGAAGGTGTTTTACAAAACATCAGTGGACTCACCTGCCACACTCTCAATCACATATCCAAGTCCCCAGTGGGCCCAATTAAAGATGAACCTCCTGGAGAGAGAAACAAATAACACCTGATGCTGCACACATTTTCATACATATATACATTTAAAGACTCCTCTGAAATACCAGTATCACAATTGAACATGATGAATACTAAATCCTTTTATTTCATTTTTGTAGGGGAGTAAAAAATTCTATTTAAGAATATTCACTCTTAAACTAGGATCAGCCTTGAAAACCCACCATGTGTAAATAAAATGTAAACAGTGTTTACCTGTGAGAGTCAGGTTGTGGTCTGAACACAGCCATTACTGGCTGAAGTAGAGATAACGCCACAACACAACAGCCAAGATAGGGATGGACACCTGCATGCTGCACACACACACACACACACACACACACACACACACACACACACACACACACACACATACATACATACATATATAACAGTGGCGATTGCTCTAAGACTGCAAGGGAAGCTCAGCTTCCCCTAAAATGTCAACAAAATAAGTGGTCTTATATGTGCTGTTGTGTGTACATTTCATTGACTAAATATGCGCTAGAACACGTTCATCTTTTGTTCAGAATCAGCTGCTTATCACAGGTAACCGACACGACTTCCTTCTCATTCATCCCCGCAGCGCCACAGTGCTTTACACAGTGTAGACGCCGAGCGTCTACTGACTTCAGTGGGGAAGCACAGAGTGGGTTGTTCCACTGCAGCGAAACTAGACGGTCATTGGATAAATGCTGGGCTTTGTCCCGCCCATCGGACGCTCAGCGTCTCTGGGGGTCTATGGGGCAGTGGGCTGGCCCGGACGCTCGGCTTCTGCATGATGATTGGATGATCTGTCTGAGGCTGAGTCCCTTTTTGATTGACAGCGAAATGAGCGAATCAGCGATCTTGAAGTATAAGCATCCACCGGAGCATTTTTCAAGTTTTTCATTCCGTTGTTCGGAGTTGATCTGGAGACGTTACTGATCCTCAGCGACTTTGTCTTTGTTAAAAACGACTAGTGTTGTGTTTGGCGACTCTCTTCTGTCACTCTGTGAAATTACATATAAATAAACGGACACATTTTATGATGTAGGCCGAAAATGAGCTTCCCCTCCTTATAAGACCAGCAGCCGCCACTGATATATATATGTATATATACAGATTATATATATAACTCACCATGTTTCCTGTTATTGTGATTATTATTGGTAAATCCTGGCTGTTGTTAAAATGATACCAGTCAGAAAAAATACTCATCTGGTCAGTATCTGACTATAAATATATAAAATATATAGCCTACATTTTGCCAGTCAAGATCTGTACTCCCATCCCACTGACAACCTATAAACAGACCATGATGAGAATGTAAATGGTGAAAGCGAAAACCCTGAGCTAAACAACATTTGTACAATATCATATACAGTACCTCTCTCTCACACACGTACACCATGCTAGCAGGATAAGCTAGCAATCCAGAATGCTGCCACTAGATGTCTTGCTAGGGCCAATAGATTTTCTCATATCATATTATATAGATGATGGAAACAGATAAAACAGCAATAATGATCAGAGTTAAGAGTCAAGCATGTAGGGCGCCCAGGTGGCTCATCTGGTGAAACGAACATGCATCTGCATGGCCGAGCTGTGCTAATCACACACAGTTGTACATGCACATTTAGTTTAAAAAAAGTTTGTATGTGTGTCTCATCCTGCACATTCCCCTCCATCCCCCATATTGTGTGTATGCATAGGTGTGTGTGTACTGTACCTTGCTCCAACCTTTCCTGTAGAAAAATGGGAGGCAAAAGGCTACAGCGGTCAGAGTCACAGTTAGCATCATCAGGCCTCGATGAACCTACAAACACACACACAAAGCTTTACCAAGAATCAAGTGAAAGAAATGGCAATAATAGTGCGCGCGTGTAATATCTACCTGGAACCAGACTTTCTGCCCAAGCAGAGTTTGATTTGGCCAGTCACACTTGTAGAAGCTGGCGATGAAGACACCAACACTCCCGGTTAGCATCCAGGCTAACAGCATTAGTGCACCTGGAGAGGTGGAGGAAGTTCAGCTTAACACTAAATGTTACACTGAAACATACTGCATCACCTCCACCTCCTTCAGATGCTGATCATGCTGACGTATTTCATATATGTGGTAGATAACTCTTAAAGTAATGGAATCAAACCTGGCTGAGCCTGGATAACATATGCTTGGGTTAACTCTTAGTGATATCAAAGGAAAAATTAAGAACGCAACCCACCATGCATTTTCATAATGATGGGTCCTCGGGAACCTGTGAGGACCTGAGGGGGGCCAGTGACACGTTTTCTGTGGCTGGAGACTAATGGCTGTTGACTATGTTTCCTTACTTTACCTGGAGGAAAGAGACAAAGAGGGAGCTTGACAAATTCCTACCACACCCGGGACATTCAACACATGTGCTACATGAACATTTCCAGTGTTCTTGTTTAACAGATATTGTAGGAATCTCAGATATTCTAAGTCAGATAAAGCCTACAACAGCAGGCTGACTTACTCTGAACTGATAACTGAAGCTCTTGGAAACACTGGTCAGTAAACAGCTGTTAATGCTTACACTGGCTATGTTGCAATATCAAAACTTACAAATTGCTCCTTTAATGACATCCTGTTGTAAAAATAAAACTGAGACACATTTCAAGATTTTCTGCTGATTAAACTGTCATGTGACACAATAAAATTCTGACAGACTGATAAGAACTTTAAGACACAAGACACAGGGGTTCAGGGTCACTGCGTTCAGACATCTCTTACCATACTGAGCATGTCCACTGGTTAGAAACAGAAAGTACTCTTGGTCCAGATCATAGCGGCCTGGTTCCTGATCGGCCATTTTGACTGGCCTGCTGAACCTGCACTGGATCACTCCATCTGCCAGCTGCCATGATACTGAGGAGATCCCAGACTAAACACACACTCACACAGAGGACAAAAACAGGTTGGTGGTTTGAGACATAAAGTCCAAGAAGACATTCATATTGCACAGAGTTGTGCTCATGATATGGTTAGCCGAGCTAAGCATAAAGACAGGACGCAGCTAGCCTGTGGCGCTGGTTGCCAGATACAATTGGTAAGACCCATCTTCTATTGCCTCCTGAACCACAGCCTCAGGTTTTTACATTTCTGTTTGTGTACAGATTATACTAACATGATGAATGAAACCTAACTAGAGGTGTATGTATTATTGAACTTTGCCAAACCTGTCTTCTAGAAATGATATTTATACACAAATAATGTGTTTGGCAACTCACAAATGTTGATACTGAATGCTCTGAATGTTTTCTGCCAAAATATCCAATCTTTTTGTCTGACTTTTGCAGATTGTAGAGACTTAAGCATTATTCAATATTTTTCATGGTTATGTTTAGACTCTAAGCATTTGGTTAAAGCTCCATATTCTCCTCTTCTCCTGTGTTTTATTTGAAGTGTTGATCCATAAGAAGATATTTTTGTGGTTTTAAGACCCAAAAACCATCTCTGTAGTTTTACATCTCCTCTCTCAGGCTTCTCTCTGGAGCTCTAGTAACAATAGGTCAGTGAGCCAATCAGAAGAGGGGAGGCTCTGGGCCTCTATTCTGATTGGCTGACTGACTTCTGAGTGATCCAATAAAAATATAGCAGTTTTCAGATAAAACACTCAGAGAAGCCAAATCCTGCAAGGCTGAATGGTGGGTCCAGGTGGGCAGGGCTTGGGGCATGGCTGAGGGTGGTGACTGCTTTGTTGTGACATCACAAAGTTCCAGAAGTCCTGACGGCTGGTTTTAAGGCTTCTGAATACAGGCTGTGTGCATTTCTCTGTGGACTGAGGCTTTGATACTTTCACAGTATTAATATAGAACCTAGACCTGCTTTATAAGACTGTGGTTTAGTTAAAACAGAAAAGGTTGACAGTGTCTGACTCTGGATACAAAAAAACACCTCTGAACAGACCCCAGACAGTGATTACGTTGCCACTACAAAATAAATAGGAAAGTATTTTAGTAGTCTATGAACGTCTTAACCAGGCTAACTGTTTCCCTTTGACTCCAAGCTGAGCTAACCACATCGTGACTGATATCCAGTCTTCAGTGTTGTCTGCTCCTGCACTTCCTGCTAATATCACAGTGGATTCATTCAGATAAAACTTGTACTGATCCTGAGTGTGTTTTCTTTTGTCACCTGTGTCTCGTCGTCAGGGTGTGTTCGTCCACTAACGAAGGCAGCACTCACTGATACTCTGTCCCCATCTTTTACACACATATACACATCATCGTTGCCCTACACACACAAACAAACACACATGCAAAAACATAAGATATATTTAGCATATACTGTCATACTCAGGTTAACAGAGGCGCAACATGTAAATGGATTGTAACAGAAAGTTGTTCTTCTCACACTAAGATCATAGCTCAAAGTACAATGAAGATCAGCCTGTATACTGACTGGCTTACCATCCATGTGTCCCAGGACAAAGCAAATGCAACATATCCCTCCGCTGGGCCACTCAGCTCGAATATCACAGACTGCAGAGAACAATGATGATTACATTATTCTAATAATAAAGATACAGATGTTTCTATGTCTCTATGTTATTGATGTTAAAATGCTACATGAAGCATGTTCACCTAACTGTATTAGTAAATCAAAAAGTTAATGTCAAACCATTTTGTCTTGTCTGTCTGTGGTCATGGACAAAAAGAAGCAGTGAGAATCTTGTGGATCACATCCTGGAGGGTCTAATAGGCAGGATTTTAATTCGCCACAGCCATCAGAATTGAACTAAACATAAAAGATGAGGAGGAAGTATATTATATTGGTATATGGTTTATTGATCACTTCATGTCCAGACAGGAAATCAATATCACAATCATTTGTTCAAACACTGAAACACTCACAGGTCCCGGCAGGATAGAGGGTGTGGTCGTCTGTATCGGAGGAGATGTAGTGGTGGGCGGAGTTGGGTGAGGTGTAACACCATGGCGATAAATGATTGGTCCAGGCAGCTTCACCCAAAATACACTGTAGTGGGCGACTACAGTCACGCTGGAAAATATACCCACAGACAGATCAAAATGTTTAGATAGATGTCAAGTATGATGTCAAGAAGATGTCAAGACAGACACACAACCTTTCCTAAAATTAAGATAGACTAACTTTTCCATGCGCATTTAATGAGAAACTTTCACACACAGATAAACGCTTTCGATATGGATTGGTCTCTGAAATTGAGGCATGTGGAAATGGAGGCATCATTAAGATTAGGCTGACGCTATTTGCACCTGGGTAAAAACTGGACTAATGTGCTCTCTCCTCTTTGTTCTGGTTAACAGCTGAGCCGCAGAGTTTTTAAATTTTTTGGGAAGCCAATGAAAAGTGCATTACAGTAATTCGGCTGGAAATAAAGATCATAAATCAGTCTTTCAGCATCATGTTGCTAGAAAACAAGTGGAAATGCACTTTATAGCTACAGTATCATTTGGTTCAGCAGAGATGTAAAGTTATGTGTCATCAGCGTAACTATGGAAACATACATTGGTTAATAAGTGCCTGACGGCTTACCACCCGAATGTGGCACTTATCAATTACCATCCTGTACAGCGCAAAAACAACAAGGCACTTAAGTAGCCATTAGCTGTTTCATATGGATGAAAAAGAGGCAAATAGCTGTCGTGTGATTCATTTGGAATTTGTACATTATACTTTATTAATTTTTTGCATTTTATTTTTTTATCATAAATTTGCAGTAAGAGAGACTATGAGCACTATTAGAAACCACTAACAGCATTGCATCACAAAAATAATATTTCATATAACTTAAAATGGTTCACTTAGCAGACAAGTTAGCTAGCTTTAATACTAAAATAACTTGTTCTGTTGTGTTACTGTATGACTGAACAGTATATATATATTCTAGAAGTATCTCATTAAGTAGAGGGAAGCTAAGTGATAGGAAGTTTGTAATAGACGAAGAGGAAATTCCAATAATTAGGGAAAAATCAGTAAAGAGTCTAGGTAGGTGGTACAAGGCAGACTTGAAGGACGGAGAACAGGTAGTGCAGTTTCGGAAAGATGTTGCCGAGGGACTGGATAGAATAGATAAATCAGGGCTTCCAGGAAAATTGAAGTTGTGGTGTTTGCAGTTCGGATTATTTCCCAGACTGATGTGGCCAATGTCTGTTTATGAGATTCCATTATCTGCTGCAGAAAAAATGGAAAGATTAGTTAGCTTTTACATTAGGAAGTGGCTAGGTGTTCCTAGATGTTTAAGTACGGTGGCACTGTATGGGAAAGGCATACTTCAGCTCCCAGTAACTAGTCTAGTGGAGGAGTTTAAATGTACTAAGGTTAGGACAGAGCTCCTGTTATCTGGGAGTAAAGATGTGGTAGTCAGTAAGGTGGTTCCAAACCCAATCAAGGGGAGAAAGTGGAATCCAAGAATGGCAGTGCAGGAGGCAGAAGCAACGCTCAGGCATACAGAGATTGTGGGTAATGTTCAAATAGGCCGGGGAGGCTTGGGGCTTGGCCCAGGCAAACCGGTGTGGAGTAGAGCAGGTCCCAAGGAAAAGAGAAAGCTAGTGGTGGAACAGGTTCGTAGACAGGAGGAGATATTAAGGGGTGCAAAGGCAGTGGCTCAGGCTAAGCAGGGACAGTGGTTAAATTGGGAAGGTGTAGATAAGAAAAAGCTTAGCTGGAAAGAGCTGTGGAGTATGGAGGAAAGTAGCATTAGATTCTTGATAGGGGCAACATATGATGTATTGCCAACTCCCCAGAACCTAAAACTCTGGGTAAATGGAGACCCGCTATGTGCATTGTGTTCAGGTACTGCAACTCTAAAGCACATTTTGTCAGGCTGTAAGGTTAGTCTGTCGCAAGGCCGGTACACGTGGCGACATAACCAGGTTTTAAAAAGCTTAGCTGCAGGAATAGAAGACCTACGGAGGCAGGCAAATTTAGGAGGGTCTAAAACAAAGAGAGTTGCAATAAAGTTTGTTCAAGAGGGAGAGAAAGTTGGTAAGACAGCAAGGAGGCAAGGCAGCTTAGAGGATGCTTGTGATTGGGAAATGCAGGTAGATTTAGGAGGAAAGCTTGTTGTTCCCCAGGAAATAGCCAGTACAAAGTTAAGGCCTGACATAGTCTTGTGGTCTAGGAGTAGAATGAAAGTATATTTCATAGAGCTGACTGTTCCATGGGAGGCTTCAGTTGAAGAAGCATATGAAAGGAAAAAGCTCAGGTATGTAGAGTTAGGGGCAGAAGCAGAGCAGCGAGGATGGAAAGTTAGGATTTGTCCAGTAGAAGTAGGATGTAGAGGATTTGTAGCAAGGTCTGTTGTCTCTTTGGTAAGGGAGCTAGGAGCAAGTGGACAGAGTGTGAGGAAAATAGTAAAGGACATGTCAGATGAGGCAGCAAGATCCAGTCAGTGGATTTGGATGAGAAGAAGTAATGGTAGCTGGGGGCCCAGCAGGGGGAGCACTTAGGATAGACAGACTCTTAGGAGAAGCAAGGAAGAAAATCCAGGAAGAGGAAGTTTTTTTAAGTGGAGGGTGTGGCCTCTGTGAGCCTCTTTGAGACCATGCGGTTAGTTCAGGTGAGTTGGTTTGTTTGTATTGCTCTGAATTGGTTTGTAGTGTGTCTCTGACTGTCTAGGTGAGTTTGTTTGTTTTAGGTGAGTTGTTGGAGAGTGGGGGAGTAGGGGGAGGTAGAGCACAGCCTAACCCGGTGGGGGAGAGCTAGCCCAAACAGGCACCTCTCCCTGACTCTACCTCCCTCATTCAAAATGGCCGCCACTTTCTCCAACTGGTTAGGGGAGTTTGTTTGCTGAATCTGCTAGTGTGGTTTGTCCTAGTTGATGATAGTGTTGTTTGTGGTAGCATAGGCAAGATAAAGGAGAAAATAGTTGTGGTGTGAGGAGCAGTGATGGCTGGCATTATGGGAGTGACTCTGGGACGCCAGTGATCACTGTCTAGCCTCCTGGAGGTGTCGTGGGACCAACTAGACGAAACACTGGTGAAAGGAGGTTCCCACCTGATGACCCCAAAGACATGTTAGTTATCACTGCTCATTAGTCTGTGTAGCTGAATTAATAGTTATCATAGGGCTTAGGGAGTTATTCACTGAGTCTGGTCCAGTTACTACAGCACAAGTTTCTTGTGTTTATCTTAAAAAATATTCTTATCCTATCCAATTATATATTTTACATTACTGCATTTGCTCTGTCATTTTTTACAGTGAAACTTGATACTACTGTATATTCACTTCCTGTTCAGTCAAAACATAAACAGCACAGAGATAGATGTAGGCCACCTGTCCTAGCTTGACTAGCTACTTTCAGTCACTGAGCTCAGTTACATCAAGTTACACAGGCTAACATTGCTAATAACACTTTATGCTGTGGAGCTGTGTAACTGTGTAACTGCGTAAACTGTAAACTATTTTTTCTGCATCTGTCATTATCACAGTAGATGCTGTTCAACATAGGTTTCATGGATTAGCTTTGAATTAGCATTTAGAAAGAGAATGAAACTCACAAGAAATGAACCTCACTGGGAGCATCGTGAGGAGCTTTCCAGATGACAGTCACCTCTGTCTGTCTGGCATCACTTGTATGGCTCACTGCTGATCCCTACACACACACACACACACACACACACACACGCACGTTATTTTTCATATTTGCTTTGTATAATATTTTTGCATGGATTGTGATGAACAATGGGAACATAATCTTTGTGTGTTCCCCACTACTATATTATTTTGTGTGCATGTGTGCATATGTACACCTGTTGCTTATTACATGTGAGCAGCTGTGTCCTGTTGGGATTGGTCAGGGTGAAGGTGCCAGTGGTGGATACAGAGCCCTGATTGGCTGCATCTCTGGCCTCAAGCAGGAAACCCTCAAAGTATGATGTTCCAGACAGAACAACTGGAAAGTGTTTTCATGAAGGTATTAAAATAAAGATTTATTAACACAAGCATGTACTGTTGTCATCTAAATAAATAACGTACTAACCTATACCGGTAGTCGTAAGTTTGATAAAGCCCTGTATTTTGACCAGGTTTAATCTTCAATTCTTCTTTAATTGGATTAGTTTGGTCAAATTTTCTATTTATAAAAGACTGAGATGACATGTACAGTTCTTCCTTTTCAAGTGTATATTTAAAAACTTAAAGTAAACTGACATTTGGAATCCTGTTTTAAGGAGGATTTCCTTTAAGTTTGGATGAAACGTTGTATTTTATATTATTTTATATGATGGTTTGGATTCAACATCTCTATCTGAACAACAGTTATTAGTCACCTTTGATGTGATCTCCAGGGTTGAACGTGGTTGTGTTGGTTGCTAGGTGGTAAGGGCTGGCAGTGGTCTGACCAGGGGCACCATGGTGGGGCTCCATGCTGCCACAGACTTTGCTGACCTTGCCATTGGCATAGCAGTCTGCTGGCACCCAGTAACACACAGACACAGAGATGAAGAGGAGACAACACAAGCCCAGAGACATTTACAGGATGAAGTGTCAGCTGTCACGGGGCGTCCAGGGCATCTGAAAGGACAAAAGAAATCACTTTTATTTGAAGCGTTGATCCATAAGAAAATATTTTTGTGGTTTTAAGACCCAAAAACCATCTCAATGTAGTTTTACATCTCCTCTCTCAGGCTTCTCTCTGGAGCTCTTATAACAACAGGTTGGTGAGCCAATTAGAAGAGAGGATGCTCTGGGCCTCTATTCTGATTGGCTGACTGACTTCTGAGTGATCCAATAATAATATAGCAGTTTTCAGGTAAAACACTCAGAGAAACCAAATCCTGCAAGGCTGAATGGTGGGTCCAGGTGGGCGGGGCTTGGGGCATGGGTTGGGGGTGGTGACTGCTTTGTTGTGACATCACAAAGTTCCAGAAGTCCTGATGGCTGGTTTTAAGGCTCAGTGTCTGAATACAGGCTGTGTGCATTTCTCTGTGGACTGAGGCTTTGATACTTTCACAGTATTGATATAGAACCTAGACCTGTTTTATAATCAAACAAAACATGGACACCTAAACAAACAGTGAGCTTCCCACTACACTTCCTATAATTGTACTTATTAGTAGCACAGAAGTAGAAAATTATCTGTAAAATTATCTGTTACATTGTGGGAAGACTTGGACAGGTGTCAACAAACTGCTGCCGTAGCATCTGCAAACCAACAGTTAGCTAATTAAAAGGGAGCCAGTAATATAGCCTAAAGATTCTATTTATATGTGGATTAACTTGTCAACAAGTGTGTAAAATGCAGCAGGTGATGAATAAATAAAATTAACTAAATTAAGCTAATTTCCATTTACAGTATGTAATCAGTCTGTTGATTTATGTGTTGTTCACTCACAATGACCGCATTACTGTGGTGGCACAGTCAAACCGAGCAGTAAAGCTATTGATGAGTTATTCCTGAACATTATTGTCCCTCCGTGAAAGACAGGTGGTCTGTGTGAATGTGGGAGTCCTTCTGTGTTTCAGGGTTCGGACACAAATTTTGAAATACTAATAATAATAATAACTTTAAGGTTTTTGTCTGGATGTCGAAATGTTGTACACAGTAACTAAGCCAGTTCTAAGCCTATGACTATAAATCAATAATTTCTCAGTGCATGACTTCTTCTGTGGATTTTGCTTTGTGTTTTTGTCCAGTGTTGAGTCAATTGCTGGAGCAGCTGATAACAGTTTGGTGATTTACAGAGTGTGTGCAGAAATGAGAAAAGATGTGTGTAAACAGAGTGCTGTGTAAGTGTGTGAGCTGAAACAACAGCAGAGACATTTGTATTCTGGACTGTTCACTGCAGTACATGTTGAACGAGAGCTGTTCCAATGACAGGAGACTTTTTGACTTTTTACTGCAAAGAAATCACCTCCACTTATTAAAACTGTCATAAAAAAATAAGAAATAATGTTTCCTGTAAACTGAAATGACTACTCACCAATTTGCTGCAGTAGAGCGAAACACTGCCTGAACTCTGCAGAACAACGTCCGAGTGTGACTGTAATGTGTGTGAGTGCAATGTCATTTCCACTGTTCCAGCGTTTTAAAGTGGAGCACAAGGTAATATTGCAGCAGTTTTACGACCTGACGGATGGACTATTGGAACATCCTGATATGACTCTTCACGTTGTTTCCATTACTTATCACATTCACATTCCACTTCCAGCTATATAAGAAGAACCAATAACACCCACCCTGTCATACACAAGAGCAAGGCTGTAGAAGAAATAGAACATTTTAAAAAATTTTTTGGGGCTTTTGTGCCTTTAATGGACAGGACAGTAGAGAGACAGGAAATGGGGAACGACATGCAGGAAAGGGCCGTCCGATGCAGGAGTCGAACCGGGGGCCAGGTGCAGCGAGGACTGTAGCCTCTATATATGGGTGCCTGCTTAACCCACTGCGCTATGCGACGCCCCGAAATAGAACATTTTAAATACTTGGCCACAATCACTGATCAGACCCTGACTTTTAGCTGGGACACATATTTTCAATAAAGCTAACAGGAGCCCGGTTGAAAGCATCTCACAAATGTCAGCATCTATGTTCACATTGCAGGGAAGGTGAATATTTGACAATGCTGTTCACAGGAATGATAAACACATAGCTGCTGACACCTCACACTCACTACACTCAGAGTTTGAACTGCTTCCGTCTAGCTGTCGATTCAGGGCCCCAACTGTCAACCAGAACATGTATAAGAAGAAACTTTACTTTACTACTGGTTTTGTTTTTTATAAGATCTGCTCTCTGGCATTTATTTGTTTATCCTGTCTGTTACTACCTGCTCATTTACACTATTATATGTTGTAGATGTTGTATGTTTTTAATGGTGAGTTGTCTTATGTGGATTGTATATGTTTTTATTGTACTTTTTTTTTTATTGTACTTTCTTTGGGAGAAGCCAAAGACAAATTTCCACTGAGATGGACCACAACCCAAACCCTAACAGGGAGAGAATTTATCTGGAAAACTACAATATCCAGATTACTACAGACTACTTACATGTCTGTGAAACGTTATCAATACATTTACCATAAAATAAACTGAACTGAATTAGAATTTGCTAATTTCATACCTGTTGTTTGTTTCCTCCTTGCACCAGGTGTGAATGCTGAACACTCAGAGCATCAGAGACTTTGTCTGACTAAACTAACTGTACACACACACTGCATCACAATATGACACTGATAAGACTCAAAGTCAGACACTGATAATAGGAAAAGTAATGCCTCAATGTCTCTGTTTTCATTTTTAACAGCATTTTCTTTTGTATGATTGCACTGTTCCCAGTGGCTTTGGTCCTTGGTGGTTCCCACACTTTTCTATCAACCACCTCTTTGGGAACCAGTTGAGTCAGTGAATCACATTCACAGACCTTTTTCACAGCAGGCAAAGTGACTTGCCCCAGCAGGAAAAGCAATGATAATTCTGTTTTATAATAATTCTTTTTTTTTTTTTTACAATGTAGTGCAACAATTAATAGTGTGATTAGTTAGTCCCATGTTTGATAGGCCAAATTGCTGTGCTGTGAAAAAGGTCTATGTAACCTAAAGGTTCAGGACAGCTGGACCGAGATGAGCCGTGCTGTACCTCAGTAACAGGAAGTGGTTGCTGTTGTTGTGTTTTATCCACATTTTAATGACAAATGGCCAAATTGTCATTTTTCTCTCTCCCACCAGCTTCACTGAATCCAGGGATCACCCCAGAACAGAGGAGCCTCTTCACCACTTTATTTAGTCTCTTCATGTCTGCTGGTGAGATGCTGCTGTTCCAGCAACAAAATAAACTGCTGACGCCACCACATAAAAGCTGCTGCCTGCACCCAGACAGACCTGAGTCTCCTCAGCAGATGAAGTCTGCTCTGGTTAGTCGATGAATGCTTCCAATTCCAACATCTTGACGGAACTTCTTAAAATTTGGTAGAAACGTTCACCTGGACTAAAGAACAAACTGATTAGATTTTGGCAGAGCCCTTGAAGAGAGAGAGGCATGTCAGCGCTGGTCCAAAATGCTTGATCATCACGTGATTCATCACATCATAACAGTTCCCAGAAGTTTGTAGCGAGCAATTTGACAAAGTAAATTTATTTATTTATATAACACGCAGATATGTGTATGTGGTTCACATCACTGTTTTTTAAGCAAAATTCAGTTCTATTTGATGATATACAGCCTATGTTTCAGGGTAACAGCTAGCATTAACTGCCCTGTTGACTATCTAAGGCTAACCTTACGGTAGTTAAAGAGCATGATGCTGTTGGCGGAAAATAAGAATGTTTCAAAATTCTGATCAGATTAAATTTTTCACCATTTCTACCAATTCATGGTAGTTTCAGTAATCCCATCATAGGTGAAGGCTGAGTAATCTTAATGACTAATGTAATCTTTATGATGTTCAGATAGGACAGAAGGAGACTGACAGGTGACTGTCAGTGATTGTCATGAATTCATTAATAAATCTGTAATAAACACAGACACATGAATAACATGTTAATCACTTTGTGTCCTTTCCACTGTGCTGTCTTTACATACAGTCTGCACCATGATGAGGAAAAAAAGATGCTAACAACCAAAACTATGTGAGGTATTCAAACACTGCATTTGCACTTTTTCACACACCATTAGGGAGCTTAATATTTAGTTTATTAAAAATAAGGAACAGGGAAAGGCTTGTAAAACCCAGGGAGTTGAGACGCAGGTTGTGGTTGCTGTCTCACTGCAGGGAATCTTCAGGCTCCTTTGAATCTCCCTTTGGTTCTTGTGCTGAAAAAGAGGGCAAAGACAGAGGAGAAAGGGATAGACACACCCATACATCTGTGAAGATTCTCAGTCATTCAGGTCATGGTTATCCAAGAAAAGTGGACTTGGTTGTAGATACTTGAAGATGTTTCACCTCTCATCCAACAGGCTTCTTCAGCTCTGAACTGTCTTCTAGTATCTAAAACCAAGTTTAGTTGCCCTCAATTCAACCTTTCTTGGACATACCTGTATAGGTTCAGACAGGAAATTGCCTTGGGAGATTATTAGGGGTATCTGGTTATTATTATCTGTGGCCCGCAAATCCTACTGTTGTTATAGAGTTTTGGGATATTCTGACTCTAGAGGGTGCTACAAATGCAAAACGTTTGTATCTCAGATTCAGCTGCATGGATTCGTACAAAATTCTGTGGATCTACGGTCATTACTCAGTCTATGACTACAGTTTGGTAATGATTGTTTAAAGTGGGCGTGACTAATTACAAAATATATAAATTTCTAATCATTCCACATGCCAAACTTCTAGAAATCACACTAAATCACTCTTATGAGAGAGCTGAAGTTTTTTCAGCATATCCACTAAATGATGATGAAAGTTCACTGTATATGGTCAATTCAGAATTCCATCACTCTATATTTTTTAAAATATGTAAAATCAATTAACATCTATATCTCCACAAGTCTTCACCCAAGTAAAGTTGTGTGCAGCACACAGTTACCCAGTGGC